TCCTTGACACCCACAGGCAGCTTGCTCTTCTTTCCATTCCACCTACCAGACTGGCTGATGACCCTTTGGCTTCATTTCTGTTTATCACCATTTGTGAACTCAGTAAGCAAAGTGATTGTGTACATTTAAATTAGGTTCTTCAATGCCTATCACAGGGCCTGACCCACATTAGGTGCTTAAGAAATGTCAACTCATTGAATGAATGCAGTTCATTAAAAGCTGAATAAAGACTGCAAGATAGAGGCAGCAAAGGGGAGAGAGAGAGAATAAAAAAGAATACTGAATGGAAATGGAAATGGAAATGGTTACTTCCTGTAGATGACCTTAGACAGGGAAGTCATTTAGTACTCCTGTGTCTCAGTTTCTTCATTTATTAAATAAAGCTCAACAAGATTATCTCTAATATCATATCCATTTCTAAAACTTTATTTTTTAAAAGTAAAATGGTCATCATCCTATGTATAAATAGTCACGTAAACACTCTCTTAACCAACCTTCACTGAACCAAATCAACCAAAGTTTTCTATCCTAAAATACAATAGTCTGAGCTAAAGTTCTCCAACTTCAGTGGGCCTCAAATTATCTGGAAGATTTGTTAGAACAGACTGCTGAGTCCCACCCCCAGAGTTTCTGATTCAGTATGTCTGGGGTAAGATCCAAGAAGTAACAATGCTAACAAGTTTTCAGGTGATGAGGATGTTTTTGGTCCAGAGATCACACTTTTGAGAAAGTACTGCTCTAGAGTAAATAAATGCCCATTCTACCCCACTTCCTATCAGTTGAGTTATTTGATTAGCAAAGGTCAGTTTCCCAAATCTATCTAGTCTAGTTGAAATTGTTTATTATAGCTAATTAGCTCATTAAATATTTTGCAAATATACAGAGGGGTGTCATTTTCAAACTACCTATTGAATTAGATGTGAGAATCCTAGAAAATATTGGGAAATTTTCATAAAAATCTAGGATTTTACATTTCTTCCCGATTTAGTATCTTAGTCCAATTAAGAATTAATAGTGAAAATAGGTAATAAATCATTGATGTTGAACATATCACGGGCACAAATGAACATGAGGAAACTTTTGGGGTGATATATATGTTCATTATCTTGAGTGTGATATAGTGATCATTTCTTGGGTGTATATGTAAAACTTATCAAACTGTATATGGTAAAATTATGCAGTTTACTATATGTCAAATTTCACCTTGATAAAGTATATAAACACACAATCACATACCTAACAAAACTGCTAAAATAATAAGACTGACAAAACCAAACTTTATGAGGATATGAAGCAACCATAATTCTCATACATTGTTGGTAGGAATGTAAAATGGTACAAATACTCTGATAAAAAATTTGGCAATTTCTTATAAAACTAAAAATACGTACATCAGCTCTATGACCAAGTAATTTCATCCTTTATTATTTACCCAAGAGAAATGAAAACACAGGAGATTGTTCAAGAATGTTGTAAATCACCCTGGCTGGTTTGGTTCAGCAGATGGAGCGAAGGCCTGTGGACCAGAGAGTCCTGGGTTCAATTCCCGCTAAGGGCACATACCAAAAATAAATAAATAATAATAAAAAAAAGACTGTTGTAAATCATTTCATTCATTACAGCTAAATTGGAAAGTCCATCAGTAGGAGGATGGATAAACAAAATGAAGGTTCTATACAATGGAATAGAAAAGGCAAAACTAATCTATGACAAGAAAGCAGAGCAACGATTGCCTCTTGGGGCTAGAGGCAGGACTCGGAAGGGAAATGAAGACATTTTCTGAGGTGATGTTAATCATCTATATCTTGAGAGGGTAAACCCTCTTGGCTTATACAGAGATGTGTATTTGTCAAAACTCACAGAATGGTGAGTATACTAAAGATTGATGCATTTCATTATAAATTTTATTTCAAAATGAAAAAAAAGAATTATACATAAATATTGAACTCTACCCAATGACACACATGCTCAGTTATTTGGGGATAGAATATACTGTCTGCTAATTTAAAATGCAACAAAAGATGGCTTGATGGATGGACAGATATGTGATAAAGCCATGTATAATGAAACAGAAAATTAACAGCATCAAGTGGTGGGTATTCATTGTACAATTCTTCCCACTCTTCATGTTTTAAGTTTCATGGTAGTATGTTGGGAAAAAATCAGTTTGTAAGACAGTAGTGACTCCATTTTTTGCATGTCTGTGTGTTCATGGACATGCATCTATGAATTACATGTTATACAAATATTTATGTATGTTGTACCATTCTTGCTCTCGGTCAGATCCTTCCAACTCACTTAAAAATACACAAGTTCCTACTCTTCCTAAATAATACAAAACAAACAAAAAACTCGCTCAAAATCCCATTCTCCTTCAGCTACTACTGGGTCACTTTTGTTTCCTTTCAAAGTCACATTTCTTAAAGAGGTGAGGATACTTTCTGTGTCAATGTCTTCACCTACTTCATTCTGGCTAGTGCCTCCAAAATTCCAACCAAATGGCTCTTGCTCAAGATATCAACGATTTCCATGTCACTAGATCAAACTGACATTTTTTAATCCTTGTCCCTTGAAGAATGAAAAATATGAAATTTGCCTACTTTTAAATTTAAAACAAGGAAGACAAATTTTATTTGATATGTGAAGCAAGTTTCTGTTTTTTTAAAAAGAAGAGCTCAATTTCATATTATTGCCAAGTTAGAGCGTAAGAGTGTAAGAAGGAGGAAACTTAAGGGATGATATCAGAAAATAAACAAACAAACAAACAAAAAAATAAATAAATGAAGATAATACTATAGTTCAAACAGTAAATATCAAAGGTCTATTTTCAAGGACCTAATTCTACTGCATTTTGAAATTCCACTGAACTCACTAACTGCGGTTCACATTTCTTCAACTGGCTTAGTCAATATATTTATAGACGCTCTCTCTTACATAGGTATCCCAAACTGCCTTTTTATGTAGAAATTATTCTCTGAGTTACAAGAACCAGAGAACTAGGTCCACGAGGACAAGACAAATCCGGCTATGTATCAAAATAAGTACAGAAACTATTTCCCAGCCTTCAAGAGATTAGCCCTCAAAGACTTTCCCAGCACATAACACAACTTGGAGCCTCCGAGGGATTTCAGTGTGTCAGGTAATACAAAATTATGTAGTTAAATCACTCTAAAAATCATTCTATGAAATACAAAATAAAGGGAATTTCTTTGTTACATGGGCTTCACAGATGAAAACTAAATTTGAGTCTAAAACTTGCAGAAGAATTTGAACTGTACTCGGCAGTATTGAGGTAGGGTTCCCAAACTGCAGGTCACTTTGACTTTGTTTCTGACTTTGAAGATGAACAGGCATTAGCTAGTCAAAGAAGTGTAGCAAAGGACATTCTGGCATGGGCCAAAACAGTACAAGTACATGTAAAGAGTTCCAAAGGGCTTTATTATTTATTTTCCTCTAACATTTATCTATATATCTTGTTTAGAGACAGTAGTTTCTGAAAGTCTTCTTTCTTTATTCTTGCCACCTATTCTCCCGAGAAAGCAAATTCTTTTATTCCACAAGCAATTATTTAGCACTTTCAATGTGTAAGCCTAGAACTATGTACATTGCCTAGATTTAAAGTAACACAGCATACAGCTCAAGATTATACACTATGATTATTGAAGGACTTAATTTTACCCTAGCTTTTTACACCAGAGCTTTATACATACTTGCATTATGTGGCTATTTTTAAATGTTAAATTAGTTTTCCATTTACCTTTTAGTTCTAACATTGTAATGAAGAATACAATAGAGTAGATTCATTTATAAGGAAGGTAACATGGAAGGACTGAAAGACAAACACTCCTGCAAATTCAGAGTGATTATTTAGTATAAAGTCTACATTTAGAACTCTAAACTCTGGATCATAAACCTCTCTGAAATCCAATGAAAGCAAAGGATCTTGTGGTAGGCAACTTCTGACAGGGCTCCCAATAATCCCCAGATCTTGGTATTCATAACCTTGTTTAATCTCCCCTTGAGTACAAAATAAACCTAGCAACTTGCTTCTAAAGAAGTGAATATGGCAAAAGTGAGAAGCTGTCTCCTCTGTGATTAGGTTACAAGTGACCATGACTTCTGTCTTACTAGTGCTCTCTCTCACTACCTCATGTGTTCTTCCTGATGAAGCATGGTGCCATGTTGTGAAAAACTCCAAGCAGAGGACCAGGTGACAAGGAACCAACTGAGGCCTCAGCCTAGTCCACAAGGAACTGAATCCTGCCTAAAACCAAGTGAGCTAGGAAGTGGATGCTCCCTGTTCCATGGGAGGACCGCAGCCTTGAGAGAGCCAGAGCCAGAAGACCTAGCTAAACTGTACCTGAATTTCTGACCTACAAAACCTACAATATGATACATGTGTATCATTTTTAAGATACTAAATTTTGGAGTAATGTTACCCAGCAACAGATAACTAACGTAGATCCTCTCTACAGAAAAGTATATATAGTATATGTACAAATTCCAGCACACATGTAGGGAAATAGAAGCCCTCTCGGAAGTTCACCAATAGAACTCTCAGTGGCCCAGGGATCCCAGATTAAGAAAGTTCTAGTATAATGTGCACAAAAGGCCTGCAAGAATCAATTCAACCATGCTATTCAGGTCAACAAATGTCAGAATACTTCCCTTCCATAAAGTATTGCTAAGAAAGTTAAACTACTTTAGAAATATAATCAATATCTTAGTACTAGTGTTAGCAAAGGTAAAATCCAGCCATGTTATACCAAACATCATTTTGAATAACATTATCTCATAAATATTATGTAAGTACTGAGGATAAAATAATGACTAAGGACTGTCCTTAACTTTAAGGACTTTACTGTCAGGTGGGTAAGACACACAGACACATAAGCTTCCATAAGAATTAGGAGTAAAAATAGAGATTCCCATATGGTATCTACTAATGTTTGGAATAAAATGACTTTATGGAATTTTAATTATGTAATTAAGATAATTACCTGTACTGTTTTTCCAAGTCCCATATCATCACCAAGAATGCACCCTCTTCCTTGGATGAAGTGTCCATAAAGAAACTGGGCTCCTTCCCTCTGATAATCTCTCAAATATCTATTAATAGTATATGGAATGGAGTCTCCATCTTCAGATAATTGAAAAGCAACAGCAGATAATGGAAATTTTCGGTCTGGAAAATAAGGTTTTTCTAAATCTTCATCATCAAATATGAAATTCCTAGAGCAAGCTTTAACAGATTTTACTTCTTGAAGTTTTTTAAGAGGTACTTTCCTTTCTTGAAAATCTGAATATAAGATGATTGCAAATGACTTCCCATTTTCATCCACTATGATAGACTTGATGCTTGCTTCACAGAGCTTTTCATTATCTGGAGAAGGGACAAGACATCTTTCTCCTGGGTGCCATATGTCTGGAATAATAAAGAAGAAAATAAAGTGTCATATGTCTACAATCTAGCTTATAAAGCACCACCTCACTTATCCACTGCTATGAGAAAAAAATACCCCATATAAACATTCTTTCCAAATAACTGAAATAATATAAATTATTCATATAACATGTACAGATAGTTTTCTAAAATATCTCATCAGATGTTCTCCTATAAAAAGGAGAATAAAGGATACATAGTTTATTTCCAGTGTTTCTCACCCTGGTTGTGTCATGATTTCCCCATACATGCTTGGACATTACCTCTGTTGATTCTGATTCAGTGGATATAGGCCAGGGGCATCAGTTTTATTACTTTGGTTGTTATTGCTGAATTCAAAAGCTGATTCTGCTGCCCTGCCAGGGTTCGGGAACACTGATTTAAATATTCATGATGACTCATTAACATTATTTATTATTCATGACATGGTAGAGAAATAGTGAATAGGACTTACTAAAGCAGTGGTTCTCAACCTCCCTAATGTCGCGACCCTTTCATAAAGTTCCTCGTGTTGTGGTGACCCCCCAACCATAAAATTATTTTCGTTGCTACTTCTTAACTGTAATTTTGCTACTGTTATGTCTTAGGCAACCCCTGTGAAAGGCTCGTTCGACCCCCAAAAGGGTTGCAACCCACAGGTTGAGAACCGCTGCATAACTAAAGAGTAAGCTAAAATCTCTGTGGCTCAGTGGTTGAGTGTCCACCCTTGCACCAAGAGGTCTCAGGCTCGATTCCCCGTCAGGACACATGCCCAGGCTGTGGGACAAATCCCCAGTGGGGAGTGTGCAGGAGGCAGCCAACTGATGTTCTCTCTCATTGATGTTTCTCCCTCTCCCTCTCCCTCTCCCTCTCCCTTCCTCTTGCTCTAAAATCAATAAAGAAAATAAATTAAAATCCTTTGGACAGCAATGCTTTTGTGATTCTTCTGTCTTCTTTTTTTTTGTTTTTTTTTTGTTCAGGTAGAGTGGGAGGGAGAGAGAGGAACAGAGAGAGAGAGAGAAACATCGATGTGAAAGGAACACATCGAGTGGCTGCCACCCGCACAACCGACCAGGGCCGGGGACAAACTGCAACCGAGGTACATGCCCTTAGCGGGAACCGAACCCGGGTCTCTCAGGACCGCAGGCCGACGCTCTAACCGCTGAAGCAAACCGGCCAGGGCTCTGTCTTCTTTTTTATAGTTGTTCCATCTTCTTTCTCTGGAGACAGCTGTTTTCTCATTGTCAATACTGCTGCTTTTAAACTGCTGCTTTATATGTGTGTGTACAACTAACCAAGGGAACCTCCAATTCAGGGATGTGTACCAGCTTGGTCACGGTTTTTTCCCTTTTAGGATTTGAAGAGTTAAAATTCTTTAAAAAAACAGATGACTTCTAAGATCTTTCTGCTAAGATTCTATAATTTTTTTTGAAGAGTCTGACCTCTATATACATGAATTGATTCTGTACTTAACTGTACGGTTATTTCATTTTCTATTCAGAAAACACAGCACTATGAATGGGGAGGGGAGTCTCTATAGAGTATTAATTGGTACAATTAAAAAATACCAAATATGCCCTGGCCAGTTTGGCTCAGTGGTTGGAGTGTTGGCCTGAGGACCTGGATTATAGGTTTGATCCTCTGATCCTGGTTGGGGTCATGCAGGAGGTAACCAATCAATGTGTCTCTCTCACATTAATATTCTCTCCCCCTTCTTCCCTCCCTTCCACTCTACCTAAAAAATCACTGGAAAAATATTCTTGGGTGAGGATTAACCAAAAAAAAAAAAAAAACCCAAATAGAGGAAATTAAATAAAAATAATATTACAAACGGAATTTCTTATCACAAGAATCCCAGAGGAATTGTATCGCTACAAGTATAAAAACAGTAGGAATTATTTTTCTCACACATTTCTTATTGAAATCAGACGACCATTGCTAGTTTCCTAGGGTCTTAACAATTTCAAGTTAGGTGTTTACACTCATGATTATAATGTGACTAGTATGTCTATACTCTCCTAAGAATAGCTCGTTAAACTATTTGTCATCAGTTTTTCCTCAAAAGTAAAACCATTATTTCCACTAATTTTGGTGAGATTATGTTTTGCATAACAATCAAAACTACACAGAGAAAAATTTGTTCTCTCTAATATTTGGATCCAAACTACTTGAAAACCACTACACTATTCTAAAAGACAAAGTTTAAATGTGAGACTAAAACTTTGATGCACTATACAGGGAATAACACATAGATCAAGAGGCCCAATTTTCAAAATCATACTCTTTGGGCCTTAAAACCTAAATTAACCCCTATAGCAATTCTTGACACATTATTTCTGCTTCACATAATTTGTTTGCCTGCTTAGCAAATGCCTTCTAATTTTTAAAGACCTAAAATTCTCTATTTATTATTCAATATCTATGACTTGACACCAATGATTAACTAGACACTATTCCATACAATGGGTACAAAAATGGAAAAAAAACACAACAATGTTAATCATTGTAATGATGTGGCACTCTCTCTCCTGGGAGTACACCTGTGACTTTCCCTTCCCCCTCCCCAACAGGCATACATCTCCTAAACTGGAAAGGACCCCAAGGGGTTTGCAACTAGGGAAGCAATGGGCAGGGGCAGTTTATCCCAGGCTAACCCCCTGAACCTGTTCCTAAGGTCCCTTTTTCTAATAATTTATTTTTATTTATTTATTTATTTATTTTTCTTTATTGATTTTTAGAAAGAGGAAGGGAAAGGGAGAGAAAGACAGAAACATGGATGAGAGAGAACAACGACTGGCCGCCTCCTGCATGCCCCCCAATGGGGAACAGGCCTATAACCTGGGCATGTGCCCTGACCAGAAATCAAACTGGAGTCCTCTCGGTGCATGGGCTGATGCTCAACCACTGAGCCACACCAGCCGGGCAAGGCCCCCTTTTTCTGACTTTTTAGGGAGCCAGAGCTGCCCAGCCTAGGCTCATTTTGCCATTAGTCCCTCTCCTGTCATCCTAGGTCCTTCCTTATTGCACTGTCCCCAACTTTAATAAATTCTCTAAAATAAAAAAATAAAAAGAATTATAGTGATCAAACCTTGCTGAGAACCAGACTTTCTGAATCTCATTAAATGACATCGTGTAACCAACTTTTCAAGGTAGAAAACCTCTAGTCTGCCCTTATTCCTCTTTTTATATTACTCCCTACATCCAATCCATCAGAATGTCTTCTTGCTGGCTCTACCTCAAAAATGTATTACTTTCCCCCTTGAAACAACCACTGGCAAACTCTTCTGCAGTCAGATTTTAGTTATTTGTTATTTTAGAGTTTGTAGGCCTTGCTCTTCTAGTGTAAAAGTAGCTAGACAACACATAAACATGGCTGTGTTCCAATAAAACTTTATCTACAAAAACAAGTGTGTCAGCTTGGCCCACAACAATAGTTTGCTGACTTCTGCCCTAAAGCATACCACATTTGGATTTCTCCTCAATTACGGCTGTGGGCTCCTAACATTCTCTCTGCTGCCACTACTGTTCCCCTACAATCAACTTTCCATACAGCAGCAATACTGACTATGTAAAATACAAATTATTAGCAAATCTCTAACTTAAAATCTTTCAGTAACCATCCACTGCACATAAGCTCCTTTATGATCTGCCTCTACTTATTTCTTCAATTTACTCTGTCAATTTTTCCTCTGATTCAAACATGCTAAGCAGGTCTTCTCTCAGCTGTCTTCATGTCATCTCAGAGACGCTGTCTCTGATCGCCTCATTTAGAATACCCAATTATTCTCTAGCTCGTTATTTTACGCCTCCACAGTACATATCACACTGTTTATCGTGTTTACTTGTTCTTATCTGTCTTTCCCACTACAGAATAACTTCTTTTTGAAGAAAATGTCTGAATTGTTCAAAATTTTATTCCCTCAACCAGCACACGTAGGCATCAATAAACATGTGCTGCATTTATTAACGTGAACACATCCTTGATTGGACAGATCCTTGATATTTACTGAGGAAGACAGATGCTAAAAAGTTTACAGACATGGCCCTGGCCGGTTTGGCTCAGCGGTTAGAGCGTCGGCCTGCGGTCCTGAGAGACCCGGGTTCGGTTCCCGCTAAGGGCGCGTACCTCGGTTGCAGTTTGTCCCCGGCCCTGGTCGGTTGTGCGGGTGGCAGCCACTCGATGTGTTCCTTTCGCATTGATGTTTCTCTCTCTCTCTGTGTTCCTCTCTCTCCCTCCCACTCTACCTGAACAAAATAAAACGGAAAAATGTCCTCAGGTGAGGATAAAAAAAAAAAAAAAAAAAAAGTTTACAGACATGTAATAAGTGCTCCAGAAGAAAACAGTGTGCTATAACAATGTGCTATAAGTAAGAAGTATTGAGGAAAAAATATAAAAGGGAAAAAGGCCTAAGAAGAGTATGTCAGAGGGTAACAGCATGGGGCAGACCCTTTATGGGCAACACATAGAAATTTATGGAAATCTATTTGGTTCCTGAATTTGACTAATTTCTAGGACTAAATAGTTAAGTCTGAGCTAGGGCTGGGATCTCTCAGGAGTCAAACTCCAGAATAAATAGCTTAAATTGGGAGGATTTCATGTTGGATTATATGGGGGTGGGGCTGGGGTGAGTGTGAGCCTCCTTATGATCTGGTCCCTGTTTTCCTCCCTAACTTCCTTTCCTACCAGCTCTTCCTCTTGCATTCCAAACTGGCCTCCTTGCTGTTCCTCACCATGACTAGAATGCTCCCACCCCAGGACCCCTGAACTTTCTGTTCCTTCCACCAACACTCTCCCTAAATACCAACACGGCTGATTCTTCCACTTCATTCAGGTCTCTGCTTTAAACGGCAGCTCCTCAGAGGTGTCTCCCCTGAGTGCTCAATCTAAAACAGCACCCCTGCCCGGATGGTGCGGCTCAGTGGCTGAGCATCAACCCTGCACCAAGAGGTCGCCGGTTCGATTCCCGGTCAAGGCACATGCCCAGGTTGTGGGCCCGATCCCCAGTGGGGGACGTGCAGGAGGCGGCCCATCGATGTTCTCTCTCATCGATGTTTCTATCTCTCTCTCCCTCTCACTTTCCTTTATTGTGAAATAAAGGGAAAAAAGATTTTTAATAAAATAAAATAGCACTCCCTGCCATTCTCTCTTCCTTTACCTTGCTTTATTCCAGTTTCAAAGAAAAAATAAATAACTGTTATTCTTCATCTCCTCGACTTGTACATAAGTTCCCCAGAGCAGGGCTTAATTTGTGTGCATGGTTATATCCTGGGTACCCAGAATGTTTAAGTTCAAATACTTGTAGAATTAACAAATATTTACATATAGCTAACATCTCTGAAGGCTTTGTGTGTGCCAACATGAGCTTCAAATGTACCAGTTCATTTAAACCTCACAACCCTTCATTACTTCATGTAAGTAACATTATCAGTTCCATTTTATAAGTGGTGCAACACATAAAGGTTAACCAACTTGCCCATGGTCATGCGGCTAAAAAGGGGCAGAGCCTAGACATGAACCAAGCTATCTGATCTTGATGCTACCATGCTGTACCAGCTCACACATGAATGAACAATTCCCTGGAACTGAGTAGCCCCTGCTCCTTTTAACTGAGCCATGAGCATCCCAGTCACTATAATCTCCACTCAGCAGCTTCATCTATTTATTTCACCTGCCAGGTTCTATTGGTACTGATATTTGTGGTCCCTAGGTTAGTGTCATCATTTTTGACCTTCAGTTTTGGCTTGTTACATAAACCTCTTTGAACGTTAGTTCTGAGTTCATCTATTTAATGAGATTGAGATCTTCCTCAAAAAAGAAAGCATGTATATAAACAATCGGCATACTGTTGGGCACAGAAGAACTCAAGCTTCTGTTATCTCTCCATAATGAAAGCTATTAACTCAGGGACAAGAAGGCATCCCAGATGCCTTGTGGCAGATAACCAATCCTCCTTAAACCCTCTCTTGGTGACTCCTTAGAGGTGGAATATAAGGTCCTAACTCAATACATCATATGTTAAGCTCGTTGTGTTATAAAGTAAACTGAGCCATTTCAACCTTTTTTCACTTCTACCATTCATAAAAACTGGGGCATACAAGGATAAAAAAAATAAAAACAGCAAATGTCTACTGAGCGCTTACTATGGGCCAGACACTGGGTCACACAAGTGCTTTGCATCTACCATCTCATTTAATAATCACAAGAACTCAGCAAGGATCTCAATTTTACAGATGAGGAAACTGCCCAAAGTTGCTCGGCAAGTAACTGTCCGAGCCAGTCCTAGATCCAAGGGCAGTCTGGCTCCAGAGTCCAGGTTCTCGGCACTGAATCGCGAAGACTGGCCCAGCCTATGAGAGGTTCAGTCTCCGGCTGTCACTCAGGGGTAAATCCCAAGCCCAAGGGGACTGGCAGGAACCGGTCCAACCCCGCGCAGTAAAGACAGGTGTCAGCAGAGCGGCGAGCTCAGAGCTTATACCTTTGCGGGCGGTTTCCTCGCGGGGCTTCGGGGCGGAGGGATCCATCTGGCCAGGGGGAGGAGCCTGGCAGCCTCGTCGCTTTTAACCCCGGGCGAGCCGCGGGGGACGGCGCGGAGCGGGCGAGCCGGCGGACCGCGGGCACCGCCACCGGCCACCGCCACCTGCCGCCGCCCTCCGTACATCGCCCCCGTGGGCTCCGGCGCCTCGGGGCGAGAGGGAGCAAAGGTGCAGCCTGATGCGGTCCAGGGAGAAGAGAGAGGGGCGTCCGAGGCAGCGGCGGAGCCAGAGGCCGCTGTGGAGGCTGACGGCGCGGCGCTCACCTATTCGGCGCGGCCTCCCCCTCCGACGGAGGACAGCCGACGTGCATGCCGACCCCCTAACCCTCCCTTTCAGGGCTGGGCCTCTCTTTACCGCTCACCGCAACTTCCACCCATACTCGGGAAATCCCGCGAGATTGGCTTCGGTACGGGCCTCGGGATCTCGCGAGAACAAAGTCTTGGTTTCCAGGGGCGGAGTCTTTTCTCCCCCTGGAAGAGCGGAACAGGAGAGTCCGCGAGAGGTGGAAGTGTCTGGAGGTTCGATCGCGCTCGCCCTCGTGGTGCAGATTCTGTGGTCCCTAAGGGAGCCTGGAGGGTGTTTGCGGGTGTTGGTGCTGCTGCGGTCCTTTAAGAAGGGTGGTGGCCTGGCAGCTGACCGTCGTCCCTGCGATCGGGCTTATATTTGGTGTTTGGTTTCTCCGTCCCAGCTGCAAACCCAGGAACTTGAGGAGGCGAGCGATTCCCGCCTGCAGTGCAGCCTCGGGCCTGTGGAATGCCCACGCCACGGGACACCCACTGGAGGCGGAGTGGACGTGGCGCGTTTCTCTTGTTATACTCTAAAATATAGTAAGTCATAAATACATAATGGGAGTACAAAACCAACGACACGTGCCATAAGTAGAAGGCAAAGGTAAAAATGCTATGAAAATCTAATGTTTTTTTTTCGTGGATCTAAAGTTACCAATGGTTTGTATAACACATTACATCCAGTCTTGTTTTTGTAAGCATCTTCAGGGCAGGGTACCACTCATGAGTTAAATGGGTACTGCATATCTAACACTGCTAGATGAATACAGAAATGGTTCCTTGTTAAAATATTTTTGTGTACTGTACAGTATTTTATTGAATTGGGTTAGACTGAATAGACCTGTATTAGTTTCCTGTGGCTGCTGTAACAAGTCACCACACACTTAGTAGCTTAAACAAACAGCACCGAAGTATTCTCTTACGGCCAACACGGATTTATTATCTTAACAGTTCTGTAAGCCCGAGTCCTACATGGGTCTCATTAGGCCAAAATCAAAGTCAGCTGGGCTGCATTCTTTTCTGGAGGCTCTCAGGAGAATCCCTTTTCCACCTTCTAGAGTCTATACAGATCATTTCGCTCATGGCTCCCTCAGACTTCAAAGCTAGCAATGTTGTATCTTTCTGACCCTTTCCAGTGTAGTCACATCTTCCTGTGATTGCAGCTGGGAAAGATTCTTTGATTTTAAGGGCTCATGGGATAAGATTGGGTCCACCTCAATAATCCAGTATAATTTTTCTTTTTCAAGATCTGAACCCTTAATCACATCAACAAAGTCCCTTTGCCATGTGAAGTAACATTCATAGGCTTCAAAGATTAGGATGTTGCCTACCACAGGGTCTTAATGGGAGGTTGGGGGTTTATATTCTGCCTACCACAGGGTCTTAATGAGGAAGACTAAATAGCTGTTCCCTCTGCAAATAGATGATCCATTCCTTAGTAAACACTAAAAATTATCGGTATGCTTTCATAAAATTATGTTTACCAGCAGATAAAAACTTTGTATCTAAAAGAAACATCGATTGCACACATCAAGAGTTTGTCATTTAACCTCATTGCTTCAGTGTCCTCACCCATGACAGCAAATAATAGTACTCTACCTCAAAAAGGGTTATTGTAAGAATTAAATAAGACACCTAAAATGGTGCCTGTCCAGAGTAAGGAATATACATATTGCTATTACTCTTGTTATCAATGGAATGCATCCACTAGAAAGTTGCATTCTACATAGCCATTGCTTCAGTTTAATATTTTTGGCTAATAGTTGGTACTACATTATTATTTAGGTTGAATTTTAGACTAGATTCTAATTTAAAGCACCATGGATTTTAAGGCATATTATTTAGGTACAGCTTTTTTAAAGGAAAAAACAAAACAAAACAAACCTTGCTGATTATTGTAACTCTTGGTTTTAATATGCACCCTAGCCTGGCTGGTGTGGCTCAGTGGTTGAGCATTCACCCATGTCCAAGAGGTCACGGGTTCAATTCCTGGTCAGGGCACATGCCAAGGTTGTTGGCCAAATCCCCATGAAGGAGATAGCTAGTCGATGTTCTCTCATAGATGTTTCTATCTCTCTCCCTCTCCCTCCTCTCTAAAATCAATAAAGAAAAAAAAATTTTTTTAAATATGCACCCTAATGTTGGAAATTTTAAAATGTAAAGGGAAAAAATCTTCTTGGAATTGATGAAATATATCCGTTTTACTTAAACCCTTTTCACATTGCCTCTAAAATCAAGGGCAAATGGAAGTTTCAATCAAGCTTACTTTATTTCTACAACTACCAGAGAAATTTGATTTTTTTTCTCCCACTGAAATGACTAGTTGTGTAATATCGTCTTTATTTTTCCAGAGTTCCACTGATTTATGATGTTGATCCTTAAAAAGCTGACCTCTGAATAGAAATTATAAGAAAATTTAGAAGTAAATTTTGATTTAAATGAAAAAGATCATCTAGTGGAAGGATTACCCTTTTGATTTACAGAAGAAGAGGCCTTATTTTCTGAGTATTTACCACTTAGCATCACCACCATGGTTATGATGCACAATGAAGCAGAAGTAATCATGACATAAAAATGTGTTTTAGTGAATTAGATGCCTCACAAAATTATACATACTCAAATATCCCCCCCCCCCCACCACCACCACCACAAGCACACTTAACAGTAGCTTTAATCTGAGCCCATAGCAAGGACATCCTTGTCTAGGTGCTAATGTTGTAAAAATCCAACACAGATGCTACTCAAACAAAGTGAAATTGAAAGTCTTGCAAACAGGCAGGAATTCCTGAATCAATATAAATAATATTGAATAATGAAATCACATGCAAAACTTGTCACAGAAGGATCTAGAAAAATTAAGCCTATTAAAACAATGATAGCATGGGGAAAGAAAGGAATAGGGAAGATGAGTAAGAGCAACATAGAAACGGTAAAAATTGAACCATTCTTTTTACCAATAAGTAATCTAAACAAAGTTTAAAAGTCAAAGATGCACAACAATGAACATACTTAACATTACTGAACAGTACACTTTAAAAAGAAGGTAGATTTTATGTTTTGTTTTGTTATTTTAACCACAATAAAGAAAAGAAAAAAAACTTGGGTCAACAAAAGGACAGTTTGGGGCTTAAGCCAGGGATATGAAAGATGGTCAGTGGTAGGTTAGTGTAAGGAATATGATGAGTATCAGTACGTCTTGAACCTTCACCAATTCCGCTTTTACTTCAGACTCATTGATCCAGTACTCTACTTTAGAGATAATAAAATATTTTGAGAATCATTAAGTGATTTACCCAGGATCACAAAATCAGAACTAGAATATGATTCCTGATTCTCATTCTAATATGATGAGTGTATAAAAACATTTCACAGAAGATAGTTTTAGATTTGAAAAATTAAAACCTGTGATTCTATTTCATACACGATTTCATATCTCACATCAGGTAGTAAGCCTAGAAATCCTTCAACAAAACACCAAGAACTTCAAGTTGAAATGCTTTTAGAAACATACTCAAAATGCAAAAAAGTATGTGAAATGCTCAGAGGCCAAACATAAAGAGGAAGCTGAAAAGTAACTTACAAAACTGGCACGTATGTCACTGCTGTCCCGGAGGCATCTGCCTATCTCAGTTACCAAAAGGTCTACGTTTTCTGTCTTGGGACAGAAGATATGGTCTTAAACCCTCAGACGGTCCCAAGTTGTAAATAAGACTTTCATTTGACACTAGAAACCTGGAAAGGTGTAAGTTCTTAATAAAGAAGGATGGTGAAGAAATTTAATCCAATACAAGGCAGGAAAGGAGAAAATAAAACAAATGCATGATTAATAGAAAGCACAAAATAGTAAAAATCTATAAATTTACACAAAAGCAATAAATGTATTTGAAAGATTAATCTTGATAAAGAGATTCAGATTGGGTAAAAACTAAATATAGCTGTATGTCACAAGATACGCACCTAAAAAATAAAGGCAAGCTTGAAAGTAAAGCAAAAATATAGAATGGAAAAATAGTAAAAAAAAAACAACACTCAGAATTGCTCAAAATGTCAGTATCAGACAAAACAAGCTTTAATGCAAAAAGCCTAAAAGATAAAGAAATTAACCACATAAATGTAAAAGGCATAGTTTATCAAGGAGCTTAAAAAGTTCTCAACTTATCACCACTTACTAATAGTCTCAAATATATAAAAGTCAGAATTTTAAGGGGTAAGATACAAGTTTACATACATGGTAGGAATTTTTAATATTCATTATCGTAATTGTCAGATTTAAAAGAAAAGAATTGAACCACACAATTGACAGTCTAGATCTAATAGACATACATAGAATACTCCATCCTATTGTTAGAAAATAAATATCTTCACAGGCACTTAGGGACATTTATAAAAATTGACCATGAGCTATGTCATTAAGCAAGTCTCAACAGCTTTCCAGCAATCTGCTTCATGTAGATCACGTTCTATGATCCCATGACAGTTAGAAATCAGTATTTTTAACATATTTTGAAAAGATGAAAAATTTGGATATTGAAAAACACTTCTTGCCCTGGTCAGTTTGGCTCAGGTTAGAGCATCGGCCCACAGACCAGAAAGACACGTACCTCGGTTGCAGCTTGTCCCAGCCCTAGTGGGGTTGTGTGGTGACCAGTTGATGTGTCTCTCTCACATTGATATTTCTCTCTCTCTTCCTCCCTCTCTCCCTACCATTCTATCTGAAGATAA